GGGTGCCGGGGGGGGGGAAGAGAGGAAGAGGTGGAAACACACTCCAGTGTAGACAACTATACAAATTGTTTGCTTTACAGACTAGATGATGCAAAAGAGGTGATACAGGAAGGCAGATCTCTGAGCCCCATTTATACTAGGGATGTTAAAAATCATGTAATAGGGTAACTGTGCAACTGCTGAAAATCTTAGTGGTTACATGGTGACCTGTGCTGCAGGTTCTTCAGTATCAAGTTTTGCTGTGGGCTTTGAAGTTAACCCTTCTCTCCAGAAGAGGGGCGGCCAAGGGCTGCCTGCTCAACACCCAGGGAGGCAGCTTTGCTGAGTGTAACTGATACCATTCACAGATAAGCATCCACTTACTGGTTAAATGGTTAGTTGTAACCCTAAACCGGACATCCCTAATTTATATTAGGGATGTTAAATTTAGATTCATTAACTAATCGAATAGTCGATGGGATTTCCATCAACTGTTCAATTAGTCAATAAGGGGGCCTCTGCCTTTGAACTGTAGCAAAAGCCCTTCTGGGCTCTTGCTCCAGTTCAAAAGCAGAAGCCCCACAGGGAGTGTGGAGCAGGCTCTTGTACATTTCAAAAGCAGAATCAGAGCAGAACCGGCATGAGCGGAGGAACCTCTTCCCTGCCCATCCTGGCGAGCAGCTACTGATGACCTATGCTCCACAGTTTATCTAGCTTTTTTTTTTTTTAAACCCTCTTACAGTCTTGGACTTCACACCATCCTCTGGCAAGGAGTTCTCAGACATTACCTTTGAATTCCATGTTAGCAGCATCTTCCAGCAGCTCCTCTTTCATGTTATTGAGAGTCTCTATGATCATGTCCTTCATCTCCTCTTGCTTGCGATTAGCAATAGCCATCAGAGACTCATAGAGCTCATTCTCCTTTTTGCGGGTGTACTCCAGCCGTTTTGGGGTGATCTGCAAGTCTCGCTGCATGTCAAAAGCCTGGTTGATGAAGATGTCCAAGCAGCGGCAGTGCACCAGGTTCAGAATGGTGGCTGCATGCACCAGGTGCTTCTGCAGTACCTGCCTGGAGAAAGTGCTCAGGAGGCGGAATTTCTCCACCTGCTCCACCAGCATGCTCTGGGCTTTGGCATCAGAACTAGGGGCCCCACAGCTGCAGTGGTTAGTACTCAGATAGTCTAGGTCCATCAGCTGACAGTACAGGGATGACTTCTCATTCTCAGCCTTCTTGGGAGAGATCAGCTCAGCCTCGGACTCTGGCACTTTGCAAAAGAAAACAGGCAAAGAGAATTTCTCTTTTATTTCCCGCAGTTCACGTTCATCAGATGCTGAGAGTTTTGCCTCACTGATGGCAAAGGTGACGACAGGTAGGACATTGTTCACATACTCTCCCAAGATGACCTCTGCAGACTGGAATCCCCGACATGGGGCTACCACAACGTCCACCTCCTGAAAGAATCACAAATGATTTTAAGTTTTAGCAATTAACCCTTGCTGAGAACCCTCCCATCCTCCCTCTTTGCACTGAAAACTCATCCCCTTGGCAGGATTCATTTCATGGTCTATAACGGGGTTAGCAATCTTTCCAAAGCAGCATGCCAAGATTTAATCCTCCTGCCCCGTTCTCCCGGGAAGGGAGGGGCTCTCTCCACCACGCACTCCATGGACCACCTGGGTCAATGCAAACCTTTCCGCAGACTACCAGTTGCTAATGGAAACTCACCTTTAAATTAAACCATTCTCCCCAGCTGCAGCACTAGCAATATGGCTCAGGCCTAATTATGTAATTAAATTATTGAACCGATTAAGCATTTTAGCCCTCTCATGTTAGTTTATCAAACTTCATTTTAAATGAAGTAAAATATTATGTCCAACACAAAAGGTTTCAAGGTTTTCTTCGTTTGTGGCAGGGGTAGGGAACCTTTTTGATTTGGAGTCACTGACTTGCAGAAAAAAAAAAAAAAAGGTGTTGGACCACACAAGGGAAAAGCAAAAAAACCCACAAACCTCCTAAAACCTCCAACCCTCATTGATGTGGCCCCCAACCGAGATGCCTCACACTTCTGGCACTCTAGTCCCCCACGAGGTGAAGAGAAGAGACAGGAAGGAGTGAGGTATAGGGCTTCCCATAGGCCAGATTTACTTTACTTTTCTGGGGTTCTAGAGTTAGTGGATTTTGTGGACCCCCTCCGGCTCTGGGATGGGAACAAAAAAGTGAGGGGTTCAATGTGCAGGACATGGTGAGGAGGACAGTACCTGGAAGGGAGTTTGGGGGCAATAACGCAGAAAAGGTGAGAGGATGAAGTGCAGATTCTGCAAAGTAAAGTTGTATCCCTCCTCCTCACATCTTCCCTCGCTCCAGCCCCAGGATCCCCCCAGCCTGATCCCTTGCATCACCTCATCCCCCTCAGTGCAACCCCTACCCCCTCCCATCCTGCCCCACATCCTTCTTCAGTTAATGCACACTAGCAGGGCAGCTGGGGTGAGGAGAGGTGGGGAGGGGGAAGCATAGTCTCTTCCCTGCGTGGCCCAGCACTTTGCCTGCGGCTCCGGGCCTGGGAGAGGCAGAGCCCAGGGCTGGCGCCAGCCCTGCTAGGCACAGTGGAGCACTGGGAAAGGGACTCCCTGCACCCACACACAGCTTATAGGGAGCAGCGTGGCACAGCCCGGGCCCCAGCATGCCACGTGCGCCGGCTGCACAACCTCGGCTCTGCAGAACAGGCCCAGCCTCGCGACCCTTCCAAAGGAGGAGGCAGCTCCAGGGACGCACATATGCCGCTTGTGGCACGTGCCAGGGGTTACTGACCCCTGGTCTAGAAACATGCAATAACCATGAGTCCATGGGGCTGGTTGCAGCTTCTCCAAGATCCTTCTATTAGCCTATATAAGTCATTATTCAAGATCATTTCTCATTCTTTTTAGGGTCTATAACAATATTAGCCAATGAAGCCCTGGAATCAACATACAAGGTTCAAATCTAGCCCAAGTTTCACATGGCAGTATAAGATACATGGTTTTATTTTAGATCTCAAGCCTCTTTCTCTCTTGCGAGAACTGACTTTCATTTCACTGTGAAAGATTATGAGAACAGAGACTAAATATCTTTGCTCGCTTTAATATTTCAGCCTTGCCACTCGAGTCACTTCATTTTCACTCATCATATCTCGCTGAGATATGGTTAGAATGTTTTCAAGTTAATTGAAGCTATTGAAGTCACTGACTCAAGATCAATGTATTTGTGGTTCAGCCTTTAAGACCTTCTACAGTACTGGGATGATTTTCAGGATGGTTATTAGTGAGAGTACGCTGCCAGCCTGGAGAATGAAGTTATTTGATCCACAACACAAGAAGAGTTCAGGGAAACTTGTGCTGTTCGCTCTGCTATCTGCTAGAGGCACTCAACCAGATCTTGGAAGGGACATTTAGAGCAAAACAGGAGTTCAGCCTCCCTGGCCTATTCTGACCATTTCTAGAATGCCAACAAAGGGCAGTTAGTTTCCACAAAGTTCTGGAAAACAGACAATACATTGCAACCAATGAACTCATTAGATGTATGGTAATGCCAAATTCTCACACCAGAGTAAATGCAGGACCACAGATGTCGCTGAACTAGACACACCCAGCACAGAGTTTACCAGCAGCTGGGAGCAGAACTGGATGGTCAGACCAGCTGAGGCCCTGGGGCATCACACTCCACAGCCAGCCAGGATGCTGGAGGGGCCAGGAAGGCCAGGGGTGGGGGGGGAGGAGGAGGGAAAAGAACGCAGAGCCTACAATTGGCAGAACTGTAAGTGCTGGCAGGGCTTACAAGCACCACTGGAGCTCGGGGGCCAGGCACAGAAGTGCCAGGTAGCTGGGGAGAAGAACCCAGCTGAGAGGCTGACTCCCTTTGGACCCAGACCTTCCCTGGTCTGACAAACTCCCTTGTCTGGGACTGGTCAGGTCCCCAGGGTGCTGGACCAGGGAGGTCCAACCTGTACTGCACAGAGCTGGCTCTGAACTAGTTACCTAGAGAAAAGGCTACCCTATAACTATTTCCACCCCCACTGCCAACCAGGCATAGAATCATAGAATAATAGGATTGGAAGGGACCTCAAGAGGTCATCGAGTCCAGCCCCCCGCCCTCAAGGCAGGACCAAGCTCCACCTGCAATGCTTCTGAATAGGGCTGTAAAAATCCCATTTAAATAAGCAGTAAACTGATAAAATGAGGTCGGGGGAAGACTTCAGGCCCCCTGCGGGCAGAAACTACTCCAGCCCAGCTGCTTCCAGCCCCACACAGAACTGCCGGCTCTCAACCCACGTGGGCTACGAGTCAGCACCCCAAACTAGGGCCCAGCAGGGGAGCTCCCCAACTACCAGTTAATTGTTACTCAGTAAGCATCACCTATTAAGGGTTATGCTAACCCATTAACATCCCTTACCCATCTCTCCCCTTCCAATTCACCAAGGCATTTCACCAATAAGAAAAAACATAGCCCTATATCACTAATTTATACAGCTCAATGCATTTCAGAAAACATGGTAAGTATCTCAGGTACAGCTGGGGGTGGATTCCACATAAGTTAAGTGACTGGCCCAAATGGGACTGGAGTTCTTACTGGGTTGCAGTGATTATTGATGTCCATGAATAACTCATCAGAAACGTATGACTTAGACTGATCACTTAAGTGGGCTAGTCTGAACTGGTCTCTTTATATTGTCCCAGTAATTAACTCCGCTGTCATAATGTTCACTTAGTTTTTTTATTGCATAAATGACAATGGCTAAGTGTAGCAGCAGTGGATAGTCTATTCGGGGAAGTAACTAGATGAACAGAGGATTGATGCAGAATGTTCCATGTGTGTCAGTCATACAGTATCTATGTACAGCTGGTCTAAAAAGACCAGTACATAACTGCAAAACGGATCAAAGAACTTCTGATGCTTCTAGCCAAAATTGTAAAGATGCTCTGCCTGTCCACATACAACCTAAACTTTACCTGACTGACTGCTATGCATGTGTATTTCATTTCTGAACCTAGGAGAAAAGGTTAAAAACTGTTTTTAATATGTTTGAATGAATAGTGACTGGGGAAAAAAAACAAAAAACCAGCAATGGTCCTTAAAGATTTGGTTCAAGGTCAACAAAGTAGTGAGGGAAGTTAGTAAGGATTTTCTGTTCCTTTCTCCAAAGGTACAGATAGTGTTAAAATGATGCCTTCCCTGACTGGACACTTAGAGCTTTTAAACTGTTTTATAACTACATGGTGGCTTAATGGATCATTGGAGGTATTTAAGAGCAGGTTAGACAGACATGTCAGGGATCTTAGATATTGCTTGGTCCCACCGTGAGGGCAGGGGACTGTACCTGATGACCTCTTGGAAGTCCCTTCCAGTTCTAGCATTCTATGATTCTAACACAATAAACCAATGTAGATGCAACAGTCTAAAAGAAAAGATAACTTCGCTACTAAGTAGTGTATTTTATTTTTAAAATTAGGGTGAGGCTGTTAGGATCATGAGCAAGGTTCTTAGGGAGAAGGGAAGTGGTGGGGGCTGGAGCAGCTCACCACCTGCAACAGGTAAGGGGCTGTTCTAGCCTTGTAGGGGGTCCCACCACAGACAGGGGCTACTCTTGTCATGCAGAGCGGCCCCTGTCTGGCAAGCCCCAACGCCCTGCAGGCAGGGGCAGAGAGGAGAAATGCTCTCGTTGGGCCTCAGCCGGGGAGGGGGGGGAAGCACGCGCACCATGTGCCTCCTTTAATCAGTTAATAGGTTAAACATTATGTTTAAACCATTACATCAATTTAAACAAAAAAAAAATAAACAGGATTTTACATTCCTATCCTGGATGGCCTGCATCCTGATGCTCCACTGGTTGACTCCGCCACTTGGAAGAGCTAATACTTAACTTACAATGAATAGCCAGCTCTGAAACAAGCTGTATTTGCATTTGATGAAGAGTTAAATATTTCCATTTGGGTGTGTCTGAAAGGCTTTAAGAGTTCAAGAGAAACGCCCACATAATCCAGAAATGAAAGTGAGATCTTTACTGTGCACCAGAAGGAGCCACTCTGAGCTTTTGACTAGGAATTTAGTCATTTTTTTTACTCTAATGAAAGACTCCAATGGTTTCCCATTTTTCTCCCTAAAAAGAAGTCTTGCCAGCATTTTGCTTGTTATGATTGTCATGGGACTCCGAACCACGTAGCTAAACAAGAGTACAAGTTACAGAAAAATTGGGTGGACAATTCTGCAATATTCACATTGACAGATGACTCATATGGATGTCTATAAACAAAGGAGGAAGCCAGTGCTGTCTCTAGGAGACGGGCAAAAAGAAAAAAAAACAAAAACCCAATAAAATGCAGTACGAGCAACTGGTCTCTGCTTTGTAAGGTTTTCCGGCAACATTAGCAGCATTTGTTTTCTTTACTGTCGTGAGGTAATGTACTCCAATTTATGGAAC